AACAACATGAAGCATAAATGGGGAGCTAAGCCTTTAATTCTCACTCATCAATGGTGACATCAATGGTGGCTTCAATGGCAGTAAAGGTGACAGCCGTTGGAATTCTGCCCGTTGGGTTTCCATGTGGTGTCGGGTCAGATGCTGCATATGATCCGGGTCGGGTGCTAGCACCACTATCCTGTCACCAGTCCCCCCTACTCCTGAGTCTACGGATGTGTTTGTGTTGACTAGTGAGTAAGACTGAATTTGCTTGATATCGTGCAGAATCCCGGTTGATCCCGAGTATGTGATTTTATTTTCCAAATCACACATGAATTTTTTTTTTATGCTGGCCGAGATGGGCTGCGGCTTAGGCTGGCCGAGGTGCGTGCCTCCGACCGAGGTCGAGGCGAGGCGTGCACCCCGGCCGATCGTTCGTGGCCGAGGCTTGCGCCTCGGTCGATCGTAGCCAAGGCATCGCCATGTCCGATCGTGGTTGAGGCGTCGCCTCGACCGACCGTGGTCGAGGTCGAGGCGTCGCCGCGACAGATCGTGGCCGAGGCGTGCGCCTCGGCCGATCGTGGCCGAGGCGAGCTCCGGCCCTTTTTTTTTTTTTTTTTTTACGGACAGGCTGAGGCGCCTCCTCGGCCAATGGCCGAGACACGTGCCTCGGACTGGCCGAGGCGTGCGCCTGGCGGCCTTTTTTTTTTTTTTTTTTTTTCAGGCTGAGGCGTCGCCTTAGCCGGGTTTGGCCGAGGCGTCGCCTCAGCCGTGGGCGCTGGCAGAGACGCGTGCCTCGGCCAGTGACCGAGACGCGCGCCTCAGGCCTTTTTGCGGCTCGGCTTGAGGCGCTGCCTTAGTCGTGCCTTGGGCCGAGGCGTCACCTCAGCCCGCACTGGGGCGAGGCGTGCGCCTCGGCCATGGTTTTTGTTTTTTTTTTTGGCTGAGGCGTAGCCTTAGCCGGGTTTGGCCGAGGCATCGCCTCAGTCGTGGGCGTTGGCCGAGACGCGTGCCTCGGCCAGTGACCGAGGCGCGCGCCTCAGGCCTTTTTGCGGCTCGGCTTGAGGCGCCGCCTCAGTCGTGCCTTGGGCCGAGGCGTGCGCCTCGGCCTTGGTTTTTGTTTTTTTTTTTGTTTTTTTTTTTTTTGTTTTTTCTATAATGCGGCGTCGGCCGGCTTTTGGTTGATCGAAGGTGGTGCTGAGAACCTTTTATTTGAGCAAAGTTACCTGGGCAGACCATGATTACAAAATATTTTTTACAGGTCTGGACGGACCACGACTACAAAATATTTCTTATAATATCTAATTAAATGTTCTGAGTTCCATACCCGATCGATCATCCTTGCAGATGGTGTGGACTTGTAGGTCATTTCCGTCAATCTTTTTGCATGCTTTTACGTAACAACTGCGTGCTGTTCTCTGGTCTCCTCTGACGACTCCTATCCCACTCGGAGTAGGGAACTTCATACACAAGTGTTCCGCCGACGCTATGGCCTTGTGGTCCTCCAGTGCCGGTCTCCCCAAAATGATGTTGTGCACACAAGTGAGTCTTACAACGATGAATTTCACGTCAAGTTTGCGAATGTTAGGGCTCGTGCCTATCTCCTCTGGTAAGACCACTAACCCCTCCGTCTCCACTGAATCACCCGTAAATCCAGAGAGTGGGGTACGTACTTCTTTGAGCTGGTTCCTAGGTATCCCTAACTTGGTGAAGGCATCGTAATACATCACATTGACTGAGCTTCCCGTGTCGACTATGATGCGGCTGACAATGACATTGTTGACGTCCATCTCAATCACCAGGGCGTCATGATGGGGTAACGGGCCCTCTGGGGGTCGTCATTAGAGAAGGTGATGGCCTCCTGTCTCTGTTTCTCTTCTCTAGGAAGACTCACCACTTCTCCCACGTATAGCTGCCGGCTCCACTTCTTTCTTTCCGCAGGAGTGTCACCCCCTGCGGATCCACCATAGATAAAGTGTATGTGGTGTGCTTCTTTTGTCGTCTGGGCGCCACCTCGATTTCTTTCTCGCTATCATTCTGCTCAGATATTTGGTCGTGTTCTCTTTTTTTGGCGTTCGAGGTGGACGGCTCGGTGCCATCCTCATTCCTCCAGACATTTTTTGGTGGATTGTGTTGCGGCTGTTGCTGCTGCTTGGATTGCTTGACGAAATGTCGGAAGTAGCCCTTCTGGATGACTTCTTCTATTTGTCTCTTCAAAACGTGACACTCATCCGTATCGTGGCCGGTTTGCCTATGAAACCTGCAGTACTTTGCTTGGTTTCCTTTTGGGGAGACCTTCATGCACTCTGGTGGGAACTCGACTATTCCCATCTCCTCAGCCTGTTTTAGGATGACGCTGACGGGATGGGTAAGAGGAGTTAGGTTACGCAGGGGAACCAGGCGAGGCCGTTCATGGTCCCGGCCCTTCCCTGCGGCCAGGTGGTTCGAACGTGGTGCCTGGCTGGACGGACCAGCTTTCCCAGGTTTCCCGTTTTTCCTGCCGTCCTCCTCATCTTTCTTTTTCCTGTCGACGTCCTCTGCTTCGGCATAGCGGCTAGCCGTCCTCATCAAATTTTCGTAAGAACGGGGGTGGTGGGCGTTCAGCTGCTTGTGAAAATACCCCGATCTCAAGGCGTGGATGAATATCGGGATCGTCGCCTTGGAGTCGAAGTCGTAGACATTATTGACTTCCTTTTTCCACTTGATCAGGAAGTCTTTGATGCTCTCGCCTCTATCTTGCTTTACTACACAGAGGTGAGAGAACGGTTTCTTACGCTGTATGCTACCAGAGAAGTATGTCAGGAAGCTTTTGGACAACTCTCCAAAATTTTGGATCGACCCGTCCGGGATGGTATTGAACCAATCTTGGGTCGTTCCATCCAGGGTGGACAAGAACGCTCGGCACATGATGGCGTCCCCTGCCCCAATCATCACCATAGCAGCCTTGTACCTAGTCATGTGGACACGTGGGTCAGTGGCTCCCGTGTATGCCTTGATGGCGGGTAACCTGAAGTCCCTCAGTAGAGGTACGTCCATGATGCTTGGGGAGAACGGTGCTGCCATTCGTACCTCGGGTTCCGACGACTGCTCCCGTGCCTCCACCCTTCTGGCTAACTCCTCGATCCTTCTCTGCAGCCTTTCGACCAGGGCTGATTCGTCAGGGTGCCGGCGCGGGGCCGGCTGCCGCTCCTCCATGTGTGGGGCTAGTTCATCGACGTGTCGTCCATCTGAGTGCCGACGCGGAGCTGGTTCCTCGACGTTTCGTCCATCCAAGTGTCGATGTGGAACCCGCTCACCAACGCGTCGTTCGCCCGCTGAGTGCCGACGCGGAGCCGGCTCATCGACGCGTTGCTCCGCCGAGTGCCGACGCGGGGCCGGTTCATCGAAGCGTCGCTCTTCCGAGTGTCGAATCAGGGCCAACTCGTCACCGTGCCGGCACGGGGCCGGCCCACGAGACTCGCCCATCGTTTCTGTGGGCGATCTCTCCGCTTCTCTTTCCTCGTGTCGGCGAGGGCCTCTAGCGGAGGACCCCTCGGCACGCGACTCCGGTCTTTGCCGAGCGGGCGCCCCGTGTCCCAACCGTTCTAAGGCAGAGCGGGAGGGCCTGGGCTGCCGTCCGGCCGGTCCGCTTCTTTGGGTGCCCTCTCCCGGACCCTCGGTCCTAGTGCGACGCCCTGCGTCCCTCGCGACACGGGTCGCGTCCTGGGCATCCACCCTCCGTGGGGATTCTACCTCTATTTCCTGAGGCCGCGGCGGGGGCACTTGGCCTTGTAGTCCCACCGCCACTTGGTTTAGTGCCGCCGTCACTGCTTGTTGAATGACCGCCTCGAGGTTCATGACTTGGTTCGCCCCTCCATTGTGGAGTTGGTCTCGTAGGTCTCCTCCATTATTGAGTTGGTCTCGAAGGTCCCCGGGCCTCCCGTTGTTGAGCTGTTCTCGGAGGTCCCCTCCGCGATTGTTGGTGAGTTGGTCCCGGAGGCACCTGAGGCATTGCCATTGTTCACGTTGCGGGAACCATGGGAGCTGCGGGACACCATTCTTTCAAACTTGCTGTTTAAAGAGGAATGAGTTGTGTGTGTCGTAGCCTGCTTGAGTATTGGACTCAGGCTCTCAATGAAAGCACCAATGACGGTAAATATGTTACCGGAAATATAATATAAGAGTAACGAATAAGAAAGTAACAATAGTTGTATTGCCTTTTGTCTTAGTATCGAAAGTACCGTGTGTCCAGAGTATTGAACGTCCCCCTTCAAGCTGAGGGGAGCCCCTACTTATACAAAAGCTGCTAACGGTAACAACATGAAACATAAATGGGGAGCTAAGCCTTTAATTCTCTCTCATCAATGGTGACATCAATGGTGGCTTCAATGGCAGTAAAGGTGACGGCCGTTGGAATTCTGCCCGTTGGAGTTTTGCCCGTTGGATTTCCATGTGGTGTCGGGTCAGATGCTGCAGATGATCCGGGTCGGATGCCAGCACCATTATCCTGTCACATGTTATTTACAGTTTTGTACAAGACTTGTTCATATCTAAAATATCAACATTTTAACATTATATAAGTCAAATTTCAAAAAAAAAAAAAAAAAAAAATCTAACTTTTTCACATAAATTATCATCATTTTTCTAGTATCCAAATACTTCCAAGGTCTTAAAATAGAATGCTTGTTGTAATATCTAATTGCAAAGCGAAACAAAAATAAATAAATAAATAAATAAAACAAAGAATAAGAAAAGAAGAAGCTACTTTTCATGATAATGACACTGGACTTGTGTTACACAATCCCGATGTTCCAGCATCTAATTAAAGGACATCCAACAGCAACATAAATCGAATGTTTTTTTATCCAACTTTACATCATTTATTATAAAAGGTTCAGGCCTTTCGTATTTAGCTATCCACATCTATTTTTTTTTAAAAAAAATTGAGGATTTCGACATACTAGTGTTTATGTTTATATATATTTATTATATAATAAAGTCGAAAAAAAAAAGGAGAAAATTGCAGTCCATTTGGTTGTGCAATTCAAGAATTGAATGAGATGTTCCATAAGCCAATGATGTAATTGTTGTTAGCTGAAGAAAAATCAAATCCAATTTTTGTTTTGTCGGAGCCGACATGACACTGCCGCCAAATATGAATATGAATACACAATACTACGCGCGCTACGATAAAATAAAATCACGTACGTATAGTACCATACTAACACCTGCATATATGCATATTATATATATATAACGCCCCCATGCATCTCGATCAAATCAGCGCTTACGTGTCAATACCCGCCTCCAGAGGCGGCGGATGACATTGAAGATTGAAGCTGCAGTAGATGGTGGTAGCAGTCCGCCGCCGTGGGACGCTGCTCCGGGTTGTGGTCCAAGCATCTGTTCTGCAATTCCCTCAGCAGCTTTGGCACTCCAACCAATCCACTCGTCTTTACAAGCTGACCCACCCCCCAAACGTCCACCTTCACCCCATGCAAACCCCTCCCCATTTCCGGAGCGTGCCTCCCACTCGCCGCCGCCCCGTGCGCGTTTATCTGCGGCGCCCCCACCGCCTCGTCGAACCCAGTAATGAACCATTCCCCATCGTCCCTGTCGCTTCTCCTCATCACTTTATCCCATCCCAAGTCTCTGTGCATGAACGACAGATCATGCAGTGCCACCAACGCCTTGGTTACATGCTTCAGAGCTTCCACCAACTGATCACAGTTGGCCGGCCGGAATCTACACCCTCTCGGCTTCAACACCAACGCTAAATCTTTCTCCGACGACCGTACGATGAATTCCGCATGTGGGATTCTGTGGTCAAGAAAATCGTAGATCTCTTTAATGGCAGCCCACTTTCTTCTACTGGAGAAATATCTCACCACACTGTTTGGCGTCATCTCGATGATGTTTCCGTTTCCCAAATCACTTCTTTCGAAGTCCCCGTACGGCAACACCTTGTATCCATTCCCATTCCCATTCCCAAGACAACGATCAGCCAACAAAGGCAACACGCCTGCAATTCTCCAGCACGGGACAAGGGCTTTCAATCTTTCCGATGGTGTCGACAGATCAACGGTGTAAAGGTCGGTTCGAATAATGCGATCTTGTAACCGACTTAAAGCGCAGAATGTAACGAGAAATCCGACAGCATAGTAACCTAAGACGTATGGCACATCAGCGTAGGTCCACATAATCTTCTCCACAAGTGTGGACGAAGGATCCAGCTGCCCTTCCCTTAACTGATCAGTTTCTTCTCCCCTCCACAGGCAAAAATTTCGAATGAAAGCAGTCACGTTTGGCCACTGATCTTGAACTGTTTCCGCCAAAGAAGACGAAGACGAAGACTTTCGAATAAAAAGCATTTCTTGGGAGCAGAATTTGGACACCATCCGATTGATGCAATCATCCCAGAGGCCTATAAAAGAGTCCCTACAAGCTGAGGTTGAGGCGCTAAGGCTAGGGTTTGATCTCATTACAGAGCTCAATACGTCAAAACTGATTCCTCTACAGTCCAATAGTTCAGTGGAAGTAGTAAAGAATAATTCTTTTCCTTGAGGTAAATCTCTGTAAACGTCTTTTCTCAGCGGGAACCGAAGCTCCTCCGGAGGCGGTTCTTGTAAGTACCAGGAGAGTTCAAACAGGCAAGGCAAAGACGGCGGCGGAACACGCAAACACCCCACATAGTACTCGCTTGGATCTTGAAACTCCCATGGAGTAATTGCTGCATAATATAATATAATATAATATGCACGTACACATTCATTAACATTATATATGATTCTTTATTTTTATTGAAAGGCTGCAACTTAAATTTCGATCCTACCAGCTTTTAATTTGAAGACACAACTGTTGACATGAATACTGTTCGTTAATTGAGGTTGAGAGCAGATCAGACGTACGAGTTTTCAATTGATTCCTTGGACAGCTTAATTAATACTTATGTATTATATATGGTTCCTATATTATATATCAGTAACATTTGAATTGAATTTAAATGCACGTATTGTGTTAAAATCGAGGAAGTGCAATTTTTTTATTAAATTATCTTATACTCCATGTAATATAAGTGGGAGTTGAAGATCTCCAAATCATATTGGAACTGTCAAAGTCAGAAGATTCAATTTTCACCATTGGCCTAGCTGTTAAAATCTAGGAAGATGATGACATTATGGGGAGTAATAAAAAAAAAAAAAAAAGTCTGATGAGGATATACCTAGTTCAGCTCCTATATATTTAAGGTTGTAGACTATATATGAGACACGCACTACTTACATCGGATGGAGGGTTCCATAGAATGAAGGTGAAATCTTTCATTAGAAGCTGCAGAAGAAGATACATGGGTCATGGGTGGATCAAATTAATTAAAGAGCGCAGCGCAGCAGCATGCAAGCAATAATTTTAATTAAATAAGATAGTATTTATATATTTGATTGCAAAAACAAATAAAATACTTGGTAATTAATAATACTAGGTAGGTAGGTATACGGTACCGGGAGGGGGTAGGGAAGGCTTCCTCCGACCGAAGACTTTGAGGTGCTGGCCGGAAATGAAGCGGTCGACGGAGAAGCCTTTAAGGGGCCCATCTTCAAAGGTTTCCAGGGTGGAAGCAACCATGGAGTCATCCAAGAAAGCTAATTCGTCTGCGTTTAAGAAGCTTGAACCTGGAACCTTCACTCTACCTCTGTGATGCTCGCCTTCTTCCGCCCATATACTCACACTCTCCTCCCATATCATTCTTATCTTCCCTATCCGCCGCACTTCTTTTGAAGCTTCCATTGATGCTGCTTCAAACCCTAACACCCCTCTCGTCCCGCCATGAATTATCCCTTCTCCACTTGCCAATATAAGCTGCTGCTTAGCCGCCCTTGCACCTGACATATATATATATAGTTTAATTTCAATTCATTTCCGCATGCAATTATAACTAACGTCGCTCCTCAACTTATCATTATATTTATATATATGTACCTGGAAGAGAAAGTTCTTCCTCTCTAAAGGGATGCGGCGGAGGCAAAGATTTGGGAGGCATTAAAGCATCTCCAGTGGAAATAAGAGCAACACCACCTCTGCTAGTTTGAGGAGTAGTAGTTCTCATCCTTGGGCCCATGAACTGGGATAATTCTTCAAACACTTGCTCGTCAAAAGAAGCAGGCAATCTGTGAATCTTTCTCTCGTATGGCGAAAGCCTGAAATAACTCTTTCCCATCTGCTCTCGCTCTCCCCCTCTTTCCCATTCATAAACCTTCCTGAACTCACCCAACATGTTGTCCCATTTTGTGCCGGCAGTCTTGGCATCCCGGTTGACTCCGTGCCGGTTCAAGAACTCCGCTACTTCCTTATCTTTATCCGCCCTAGTTTTTCCTCTTCCCGGCGGAGTCACGGTGGTGATCTCGCCGCCTTCTCCTTGGAGCTCCGAAGACCCGCCATGGTACTGAACCCTCCATGCCCTAGCTAGCCACAGCATCTCATTAGGTTTCCAAACCGGACTCACGTACTTGCCCTTCCTGAATTGATGGTGGTGTTGCTGTGGAAAGTGTTCCATTTCGGAAGCCGGCTTGTTGGCCTCTTGCCCAGAGTGAGACGGCCGGGGAGAATGTGACGGCGAAGACGCGGTGTTGGAAGACGAAGCCGCGGCGTGGCCGGCCTGAGGATTGGCCGACGGAGAGGGCGTTGACTCTGAGCTCAGCATACTCGGCTTCTGCTGCTGCTGGGAGGAGGAAGATGGTATCGGCTTCCATTGGCTCGCAGCAGCTACGGCGGCGTATCTGGGCCGCTTCGGATTTACAGATTCAAACTGCTGCTGCTGTTGCTCAAACGCCCCAGAAGTGGCAGTGCCAGTAGGAATATATAGAGTAGGAGAAACATAGTGAGAAGCGCCGGAAACCACCGGCTGCGGCGGATGCTGTGGCGTATCCTCGGCGGGGTCCTGATCTGCAGGATCGTCAGAAGAGGCGGACAAATGGGCATGGTGCTGCGTTTTCTTGGTGGTTTCCCCTTTGTTGTCAACCATAATTTCTTCAAAACGGGCCCCCACAGAGAGAATCGAGAAAATAATTATAATAATAAAAAAAATGGATTGATCAGAACACAACCAAAAACCAGAAGAAGATAACAAGATCCATTGCTACAGAACTAGCTAATTACTTGACTTTAACTTGTAAATTGAAGGGCTGGGTTGGAGACCTAGGTTTGAAAGCTAGCTAGGGTATCTTGAAAGGGAAAGTTGGAAAGAAGGAAAAGTGGAGGATCTATGAAAGCAAAAGCCAGCACAACAATAATAGCCAAGGGACTGAGGAAGAAGCTAAGGGGAGATTGTGGAACCTGCAGCGTTGAATAAGACCTGACATTGGCTTCAATTAACAGTAAACAACTTTCTTTTATTTTTTTCTGAATGTAAAATTGGATGTGTTATTAAGAAGAGAGAGAGAAAGAGAGTAAAGTAAATGATTGTACTGAAACTACTGAGAAATGCGGCTCTAGAGATGTAACATTCATTCATTCATTCATTCTTTTTACGAGGAGAACTTTTAAAAAATTAAAAACAATAATAATGTATGTTTTTGTTTGTGGAGACAGTGGCAACGACGACGTTAATTAGAACAGCTAGCGTAGCGTCCGGCTTCCCGCGATGAAGTGAGTGACAAATTAAAGCTAAGGTTTTTGGTGTTTCTTTATTAATTTGCTCGATTTCTGGTACATTGTTTGCTTGTATTTGGCAGAGGATTCATGATTGGGACGTCTCAAATCGATGCATGGCCCAGCCCCCTCATCGATCATCTCTTCTCTCTTCTCTCATTTATGACTTTCTTCCCACTCATCATACTTAGCTTCATACAATTGGGTCATGTGCACATACCAATCCAAACTATCACGGATACTCGCAACAACAACAATCCTACTTCGTTTCATCATATCCCAACTTTATGCAAATAACATTAAGCATCAATTGCTTATTACTTTCCTATTAGCCAATGCAAGATAATCAATTGCACAACATTTCCTAACAATTATTATACTAAATTAAAAGTTATAATGCCACTCCGATCAACCAGACACAAAATAGACTGCTTAGCAATGATATGAGCTGCCCAGTTCGCTGATCGTTTAACAACAGATAAAAACACATAAGAAAAATCACTTGCAGGTTTTTGATATCATTAACAACCAGATGAAAGGATGACTCCCCGTTAGCTTGGGTTACGGCTTTGAATCACTTTAATTTGAGCGAGGCTGTCTCTATTTGCACTTTGTCCTTGCCAAATGTGCTTCTTTTAGGAGTAATATGTCATATTTTCTCACCCTTATTTAACACAAAATACTCAATAATGGAAACACAATGAATAATATGATTATCCCATCTCACATGGAAACCCAACTTAAGCCTTATGGTACTAAGCAAAGGCCATTCAACTCTATCGTAGGCATTGCCCTTATCGAGATTAAGAGCAACAAAACCAACTTTCAATTCCCTTAAGTTTTACGATTCAAAAAGTGTTGTATTTCATTGGCCATCATAATATTATCCGTAATAACTCTACCCGGGACAAAAGCACTATGGTTGTCTCATATCAATCTATTAAAAATAGGTTTAAGTCTGTTGGCTATGGCCTTGGTAACAATTTTGTATGCCACAATATAGAGGGCACTGGGTATGAGGTCCGCCATGATTTCAAAATTGATTTTTTTTTTTTTTAGGAATTAAAACAATATGTGTCGATTAAACCCTTTGAGGTGACCATTTTTAGAGAGTCATTACACAAGCAAACAACACTCTCATTTATTTTCATTTTTTCATGATTTTTACATGTCCACCTAGGAAAGAGAAAGAAGAGGAAAGAAGGAAAAAAAAAATTGAAAACAATTTTTTTTAGTACATTTGAAAACAAAAAAGGGCCCAGTTGGCTCGTACTTGAAAAACGGGCCCAGTTGTTTTTTTAGTGCATTTGAAAAAAACAAGTAATGCTGAACGGCCCAGTTGGCTCGTACTTGCGAAACCCACAAAAAACTTACAAGGAAAAAAAAAATCTAAAAAAATCACTTCCCACATTAACTAAAAACCACCGATAATAATCTTATACTAATTTTGCCAATAATATCAAATTTCGAATCTACACCGAATTATAGAATGTTAAGCTTGATCTTTCGATCTAGTAAATTACCTTTTGACCTATTCTAGCCAATCTAGCTCAAGGATAAATGGTGGCATCCGAGGGGTCTATAATTTGTGGTAGAAGGTTGGATTCAATCAGCCATTTCACCAGAAAGTTCTCATGATCTGGAAATGGATGCAATGAGTAGGATATATTATAGAATTCAAGAAAGTGAGTGATATGGCATTGGGTGGCAGGGGTATAGAGCCTATACATCCACCTCAGCTCAAATGCTCAATGACCCTCTACTCAGTTTGATAGTTAAAACTCATCTAATTTTTTTTGAAAGTTACTGGCTCTATATTACATTGTAGTATCTGTTCATTTACTTTCTCAACCTACTGAAACACAAAGAACCAATAACGCCTCCACTGAGGCTCGAACTTATAATCTTCCGAATGGAAGTCCAACCCGGATACCATTGGACCACATAGTCCTGGTAAATATAATTTAACTTTTCATAATATTAATTTAAGTATTAATACCTTCAAAAAAATTTAAGTATTAATATAAATTATGTGTGGTTTTTGTTCTCTAACATTGATAGAAATTATTATTAAAATAAAAGATCAAGTTCTACCTTATTTTATATCTTGTGAAATTAAATATAATGTAGTAAATTAAATTTTTTAATTGTATACATATCTTATAAATTTAACCGCATTAACATCTTATTGGTGTAGTGTCACTCACTACTCACTCCATATGATTCTTGTTCAATCACTACACTATCAATGTTTCCAACTAGTTAACTGCACTCAAGCATTGTAGTCAATAAATTACCTTTAATACATTTGCCACTTAATAATTATTGCTTAAAATTTTACATAATGGAAAATTTTCACTTAATACAATTCAATTAAATTACCTAGTTTAACATGTTAAATTAAATTTCACAAAAATTTAAATTATAAATAAGTTGAGTAAATTCTCATTATTTAAGATAGATATAAAATATGACAAACAAGAGTTATTATTAAAACAAAAGTACACTTCTTTTGCACTCAGACAATAAATGTATTTTCATTCATTGTTTATTATGAGTTGACCAATTCACTCTGTATTAAAAAAAAAATTAAAAAAAAAAACCTCATTAATTAAATACAAATCATATATTTTAACATCAAATGGTAAATAATTTTAGTAAAAAAGATTTAGTCTCTATAAATTGATCTGATAAATAAGATTTAAAAATACTCTAATCAAGAAAAAAAAAAAAAAAAAAAAAAAAAAACTCATTTTAAGTGTGTGTGTGTGTGTGTGTATATATATATATATAGAAAGTGAGTGTATACTACAATAGAGAAATGGGAAAATTGGCAATATATTGTCGTTGGTATTTGGTTAAGAATGCAGTTGTTTGTTTTTAGGAAAGTTGGTTGACAGGCAGGAATGCATGCAGACAGAAGTGTTCCATCGCATTTATATATTCAACCAAACATATGCGTGCAGTGTTCTACAGCCCGCATGCAGATCAGATCACAGTTGCATTGTATACTCCAATGTATGACACACACACCATATATATAATGCCTGCATACATATAATGCCCAATTTATTACCTACAAACACCAACATACTTCTACCTACTGCAATATAATTCTGTTCAACCGTGCTCCAGCATATCATTTTGAAGGGAATGTTACCAATACGATCACTTACCGTAACTTGCTATGTTGGGCGGGGTCAGTAAATAATTAAGTCCAAAATCCTATCTATCTCTTGAAAATGTAGAAGCAAATTAGCAATATAAGAAAATAAAGTTGAGCATCCTACGAGTTATAATTTTTGTTGTAATGGTAATTAAATGCTTGATTTAACAAGTGGTATCAGAGTCGGGTCACAAGTTCAAGTCCCGTTAAGACAAGCAGGTGCTGAGAGGGGAAATTGTTAGACGGAAGCCGGTGAGCGAAGTTAGCTTCCGTTACGAGCTATAACTTTTGGTGTAATAGTGATAAGCCTTTGATCATAACAAGTGCTATCAAAGCCATGTCACTTGTTCGAGTCCCATGAGTAAAATTTGTGCAAATAAGATTGACATGTGTTGGGATGGGAAATGATGAAAAACCAAGTCCATCAATTGTTTGGCACATTGCCTCAAAGTCATATATATTAGTGTAGACACAATTTTTTTTACTATACGTACTAAATAAACCCTGCAGACTTCGAGTAGTAATTAAGGAATTCCTAGATTATTGGGCAAAAAGCCCCTCCAAAGTAAACTACAATAACGCCTTTTATAGGGCGTTCCAAAAGACATGACAGGTTTCTTATGCTTCTTTATAGGTGGCAGATTGCTAACGGGCCAATGAGTTGGTCAAGTCATCATTTGTTCAAAGTACACTAACCGAAGATGACAATACAACGTAGAACAACACATGTAACCTTCACACTTGGTGAATTTGTCAATCACAACATAATCGATATAGGTCGAGCTCTTATTCCATTGCAAGATCAGTTAAGGTCGAACCAAATTAGTATATAACCACGTCACTTAACTAGTAATTAGTGATACATTTTAATAACAATATGATAGATCATGTCATTCAAGTTGGCAATTAGTTTGACGCTTTGACTTTGATTCCATTTTGATACATCTAGTATTTTTGTTTTGAATAGTGAGAGTGCGCCGTACCCAAATGAAGACTATGGCACAATCAAGATGAGAAGATAGTGGTCACAGCTGGAGATTGAAATATTATTATTTTTCAATATACAATTATTATATTTATCCCCCCCCCCCCCCCCCCCCCCCCTTCTTCCCCATCCCAAAACCGGATCTTATTATGTCTCTGGTGATTGACGCGATGCTGAACTCCTCAGAGCCTCAACCTCCTCCGTGAGTGGCCATTGCACCTGT